TTGATATCAAAAGGCACAAGGGTGAGATTCTATTTATCATTCTTCCAGCTTTTTCAGTTTGTAGACAGTAATAAGCAGCGTCTAAAGTGTAAAAAGTACTGCTAATAGCTTCAGTCGCAGAGTCATGCATTAGTGATGTCATTTGATTGTGATGTCATGGTAACAATGATGTCACAATGCTCTGCAAAGCATTGTGATGTAATTTCATTGCAGCAATATCTACACTATAGACATGGCTTGATCTCATCCAAGCCATATCTCCTGTGGGAGCCAGTTTTGGATGATAAAACAAGTTATTTGCTGTTAAAATAATACAATTCAAAGTATACTTTTAGTTTTAAAAAGGTTAGATTTTGTATCAAATACATGCTTATACCAGATAATTACATTAAGTTTTTAAAGTTACAAACTTCAAATCAAAATAAAAAAATTGACTTGGACAATATGTTTATTAGTCTAAATTAGTTACTGAATGAAAAGAACCTAACCATGGCAATTGTGAATGAGAAATTTCAATACTAAAGGTATCCAATTGGCAATTTATGTTCAAATTTGTCTATGTTTATTTTACTATTTTGATTGACATGTAGAAACAATATGTAGCAAGCGTTTTCAAGTGACCTTCATGGTTGCTCTATATTCCTTGCACATTAATCAGGTTTGATAACATGCTTAATAACCTCAATGCTGGATATTTTCGATCTTGATATTATTAATATTTGAAGTTGTTCTGCAGTTGCCTGTATTCAGTCATGTGTGAGGGACTCCAATCAGACATAAGAAGGCACTGTAAGTTTCATTGCTTAATACACTGTCTAACACATTTATCAAATTAATGTAAATTTCATTAACATAGCAGCATTGTAAAGGAGATGGACTGCTTACTGTTTTATAGCCTCCCCACATTGACATTTGTGTCATCAATGTACAGCCCTGGTGTGGTGGGGCGCATGTTGATTGCACGTCAATTGCGGGACAAGTGATGTATTACATGTGCATTGTGCTAATCAGATTCAGCTTGTCCTCGCTGGCACTGCACTCATATTTCAGACTTAAGCTTTTCTCAGACAGATCACCTGCTAATTAACGACAGCACATGTACAATGACGACTAGGGAAAGTTATGCACATTTCATTTGACACAGAAACAGTAAAGTCAGTGAATCCTTAGTAATTGAAGGTTTAGTTGGAGTATAACAGTATTACACATGGGGTATAACAGTAAAGCTATAGTCTATACCCACTGATATAGATGCACTTGTTGACTGGAGATGCAGAGAACCTTGACTTTATTTCAGCTGTTGATACAAATGTATCTATTCCTTTGCATGATATTATTTCAAATTTCTTGTTTGATAGGCATTACTTAGAAGCTGACGGGTGACAAGGTAGACACAATTTTATGGATAACAACTTCTTTAATACTGTAAAAAGCAACGTTTCTGTATAGATCCTTATACTGAAACGTCGCTTTTTACAGTATTAAAGAAGTTGTTATCCATAAAATTGTGTTTACCTTATTTCAAATTTGTAAAAAATACAAAATTATGTCATTCTTAATCTATGTCCAGCTGGATGTAAGTAATATCAGAGGTGGATCCAGGAGTTGGAAAAGTGGGGTTCACATGATACTTATGACACAAAGTGACCTGGCCGAGGGCACCATGTAAGGTGTCTCAAAATGGAGGTGTGCACCCCTGTGACCCCGCTCTGGATCTGCCTGTGAATGTAATGATGATCAATATATTATCAGAAGTATATCTCATAATAATTTTCCAATCATACACTTGACGACAATTTAGATAAGTCACTTAAACAGATAAAAACAAACGAATAAAAATGAAAATATTCACTTCACGTCTAAATACCAAAGAGTGTTCACTGTTTCTAATTTCTAAGTCACCTATGAAATGCCTTTATTGATCAAACAGACTTTGGTCTGTCCACAACATACATGCGTAAGTCAGTAATACTTCCAGCAATCTTCTGAACCTTATATTACCATGCAATATTAGATAAATTTCAAACAAAACAGCTTGAAAAGTGTCATTTTCCCATCCCGTGTGTACATTATAAATGACTCATGGGAACATTGCAGGTAAATATTAGTTTTATGCGTTATGTACCAGCAATGATTCTCGGCATGGAATTGTACGTGTTAACAATATGAAACAATCCACTCCTTTGTGATCAACGCCCAAGCATAGCGTACAACACCCCAGTGCATTGTCGCTTGTGTTAATGGCTCGACAGTGGCTTTCGACATGCACCATTGCAGCCCACTACAGCTAGGAAGGCTCTCTTTGTATTCAGAACTAAACTACACCCTGATGAATTTCAAACTGACCGAGCCTCGATTATGACGGAGGAAAATCACATCATGTTAAATTTATGGTTAATAGCAAGGAATGCACAAGCTGTGAGGCTAGGGACTTGGGCTGGAACTGGCAACAGACAAGGCAGTGTTCTTTTAACATAATATAACATCATAATGGACATAGAACTTGGCCAGAGATTAAGTTATCACAAATGCTTGACTAGACGTATCGACTTGAATTTACAGAGTACCTCCTAAATGACAGATTTTTATTTCAATTTTCTTGAAATATTTGATGCAGGGATTCTTAGCAGGAGGGATATCATTGTCAGAGATAATTTGATTGAGTTATTCAGTTTTGGCCAGTCTGTGTTATTGGGTACATTCTGTTACCCTAAAAACCATAATTTGGTTTCTGAAGGAATATGAATTGTTTCAACAATTATGTTTTAGTATTGTGATGTTGAATTTTTGTTGGAGATTGTTACTTAATATTTCAGCTTCAAAGGTAAAACAAAACAATTAGCAGTCTGTTTTATCTGTTTCATCTCTACTATGGATACGAACATAAACAATACTGTACGTTCCCCTCCTACTCACTGAAAAGTAAACCTTCACAACTTATACAACACTTCTTTTCCTAATCTCCTCAATGTGAGAAGAAGTAAATGTGTTGGAAATGTACACCGCATACCCTGTGATTGAAACTAACGAGTCAGTGGTGTTCATTTCACCTGCCACTGACTTGAAATAGACGTGCTATGAAGGAGAGTGGAACACTATCTGTGTATTAATCAAGGCAATGCAGGCTTGTTATGATGTTGAGAGATTAGCAGGAATCAGTTCGATATAAAATATACATGATAAATAGTCCATTCACACATGACAGATTACAGAAGTGACAAGGGTTTGGGCTGTACTTCTCCTGGTATGCTACATAATGTGCTTGCTTCAGACCTGATTATAATTGCTTTCAACAGTACGAAACTAAAACATTTGGAATATGTAAATGGCAAAGGATAGTTACATGACCATCTAGACAATACTTATTAATTAAAAAAACATATTCACTTATTTCAAAATTTAAAACCAACTTTATGAAATCATTATGTCCATACAATAAAATAATTATCAATAAATTCAAAAAGTAAATTCAATAAATAAATTCAAGAAAATTTAGATATACTTTATTCCAAAATTCCAAAATGCAATGTTTCCTTGAAATGATATCTGAATTCAATCTATCCACTTCATTCCATAAAAGAAATTTAATTTACTTTAATTGTACAGTTATAGAATAGCATCATGGGAGCATATTTTCCTACAAATTATTAAATCTTGAATGCCAAAATTACTCAAAATGGTTACCCGACACAATGCGGCTTCTTCAAAATCACAATGCACACTTAATAGATTTCTGGAGCAACACGACAGACCAAATTGGCGGTTTACCATTCTTCACAAAGGTCAGCAAGCTCTTGGGTCACAAGCCTCTAATGCGTAACATAAATACTCGTGACGCGTCTTTGTTTTCCTTTGCAGATTTCCTCCATAATAGCCATGAATTCATCAGGAAAATAGTTTTCAATATCCTCTGCATGGGGTGAAAGTGAAAATTATCTTGGAACAGTCTATCATTGGTAAAGATATTGTAGTGCTATTAACCAGTAATTATACATTTGGGTGACAAGTGACATATTTCATTCTTGTAATAAGTTGGATTAGCCACTCCATGATAGCTTCTGGGACAGGATAGGCGGAAACATTTCCATTTTGTGACAAAGGATTTTGAAATAGAAATCTTAAAAATGGAATTTGATTGTAAGTTCTGATATCAAAACCATAAGCGGCTACATGTGCAATGGTTGAATAAGATGTATACAGGCCTTTGTGATATCTTACTCTATGTCTGGTAATTATTATTTTTATCTATTATCTAGAATGACAGATTCATATCCCTGTTTGTTAAATGTGTCTGAAAACATATAAATTTTAAATTGTTTTATTTTGTTTGAGTCTGTTTTTTATTGATGAATGAAAATGATGAAAATGTCATGAAATGTAAAATCGTCAAAACTATTACTATAGGAAATTAATATTCAAAATGAAATATTATGACCAATAAAATTGGTCATGGTTCAAATGCCAAGCCTATTATGACTTGCTATCATATGATTCTTATGGCATCAATTTAGTATTAATTTCACTGCTTAAGCATCCAGCAAAAGTCCCCTTCCATCCATACTGCCTACATCAAGTTGTATACATGGGTACCCGAAAGGATGACATTCAGCCACGTTAGGCAGCATAAAAAAATATTAGATGTTTCTTGTTCACATTCTTCTCAAAAGTGAGGAGGGGGTATCACTATAATGTGAAAACATAAATGATGTTCGAGGAACGCTTCAGATTTTGTCCCCACCACGACTACCAACAAACACAACTGGGCACACATTGCACTTAGACCTTTGAACAATGACAGTTGTCAAGCATTTTATTTTATGAATAAAACTGTATGCTTCATATGACAAGGAAAATGTGACATGTTTTTTATTAGCAATAAAAATGACGGATGCACAGGATTTAAAGTGAGGTGCCAATGTGAGAAACATTCCTTTTTCTTCTTTAGACTTTTATTTCATAAAACATTTGTTACAATACGAAATGACAAGATTTGAACTTACTTTGAAAGTAGCTTTTGGTTCTGAGGTAGCTAACGGCCAGTCTGAGTATAGAGAGTTTATCCAACTTAGAAATGACGCTTTGCTCAAAGGGCAGGAGACTAGCAAGATGGTCCAACTCTGCGTTGAGGCGCTCACGGTGCCGCTTACTGGGGTTGCTTTTAGGAGGATCCTTTATAGGGGCCTTGGGGCTGCAAAACAGAAATAATATGATTAGGAAAAAACATGATGATAATACAGCCTATTCAAGTACAACTTGTGATATGATGCAAAAGTGAGAGAAATAACTTTCCTTATTCAATACATCGTTGAATATTAGTAAAACTTATCCAAAATGTCTCCATTTAATAAGGCAACACATTTTTTACTTTTCGTTTCACGGGTCTGTCACCCCTACTGATAAGCAGCCGGTCTACGAAATAAATATAATATATTTATTATTATTATGTCTCCGACTAGCATAGGTATTTATTTTTAATTTTACATCATCTGACATTGTTTGGAAAAGCTGGAATAACTCTGTGAAACATAAAAATTAAAAAAGTGTGGTCTAAAGCATCCTCAGAACTATATTCACTGGCTTGATTTCTAAAGTGTAGAGATCATTTTTTAGAACTAGTTCCTGGATTGTAGAAACATGGATTCTGATATTTTTGTAGTTGACATTTATTTATCAAAATAGTGAAACTTCTTTCCAAAATTTATGAGTAGATGCAATTTCTATCATTAAACATTAACTGCAAAATGCTTCATATGTCTTCAAACTAGATGTTGACTACTGGCTGATGCTACTAACAGTCAATTGCATGTAATCATGTCATAATTTGCCAACGTACAAAATATTTCCATTCCAATATCTATGAACAACATTCATAAGACATAAAAATCTTGTTTCAATTGAATCCTCCCATGCAAGACTCCAGTTACGAATGACACCACCATCTTGAAATTACACAGTGAAACACTTGCATACAGACTTGTAGCACAACAGATTCAAGAGAAAACCATCTTAAAGGTATATTTCAAAGATAAAATTTGTCTGTGATGTCAAAATCAATGAGATTGTTCTATGAAAAGTTTATGAGTGGGTTTAATGTTCTCCTTTGATTCGGTCAATCCAAAGTGAGGCTCCCACTGAGTGGGGCATACAACAGGAACAATATAGGTGTCACAATGATCCCGTTAAAATCATGTCCAGGGCAGAGTCATTAGAGAGATCAAAGTCTGTGGGCTTTAATGGAATCGCGATTTTGATCATTTGTTTGTCTCAATCCCGCGATGCATGTTAAAAGTGCCCCGGTCACTGAGAGCATACGCCATTGGGGATAACGTAACAGTGTACAGCGTTTATGTCTTTGGCATTTGCCGCCACTATTGACGTGGCATTGTTTCAATGACGTTGCCTCAAGCAGCTAACATGGTTTAATGTTTCATTAGCACGTAGAGAAATCACGAACTCAGAACATACACAGAAACATTTGCCTCCGAACATCGCTCACTGCTACAACAGTCCCAATAGTCAGGTTGCAAGGGCAGCTGTCATAGTTCTGTAACTATATTCAACACAGACCTTTTTAATTGGGAATTAGATTGTGAATGGCTTAATTTGTAAGAGATTCGTGTATTGTATCCCCAACCACTACTCACTCCTCCGGGAGATGGTACGATTAGGATCTCATTATGAACGTCCGAGCATTGTCATTTTGCATAATGCATCTGTCGCTAAGCTTTGGAGGGTTTCTTTATTTAAGGGCGCAACAATCATGGACAGATGGGACCCAACAGAGCATTCTGGGAGTTCCGTAACTTCGAGTGCCCATCGCGTCATCCATCAACATTTTGATAAACTCCCAGCATGTGACTTTTACGGCAATTAAGCCAGAGGAGCTCCCAGTGTCTGGGGCAGAGACTCTGTGGCCATGATGTAACGCATCATTTACTCAAGATACGGAGTTAACAAACTACTGGTTAGCTGACAGTGCTTGATTATACGCTGGTTAGGTTTATCTCTTTACAATTACTGCACACAAGCCAGGGCTCACAGTACAATATGTGACTACAAAACTGGAATTAAATGATTTGAACTCTGGACAAAGGGACAGTTGTCGTTGAGTAACTCTTTGTGGTATCATTTTTATACATCAAAAACTTCTACCTATAAATTAGGCTTCCTCAGATGGAAATCTGATGGGTTTACGATTGAGAAAACTGTGATTTACTCATTTTAAAAAAGAGAGGGATTTTCATAGGATGTGAACTTGGATTTGTCAGTGCACTCTCTGGCACTTGATCATGTGAAAGAAGTTTCTTAAATAGTATTATTTTGTATCTGTCAACCTGTCCTAGGGTCTTTTTCTTTTTTGTTTTAATAACACGTTCATACTTTTTAACTAATATTACTGTTAGTATTATGTAACATGGTGATACAGACACACTTGGTCCTACAATGATAATACTGTATAAAGGACATATAGTGATATCACTACAAATCATACAACAATGCCTAACACAGATGGCATACTTTCAGTACAAAAAGCACCTTCAAACATTCAAATAGCATCTTTGTACAGATATAATTATATTTGTATGAAATATTATATTGTCACATGATACAACACCATACAACCACAGATTGAACGGCTGGAGATTGTTTCAAGTGGCCTCCTTCAGTACTGCTAACAACGTCTCCTCTAAACACACAACACCCTGAGAGAAGGCAAACAACAATGCTAAGTGTTGTTGGAGAAGACAAGAGATTTAACCTGGCTGCGCTAACACTAGATGGCGCTCAAGTGGGCTTAACGTCAATCTCACTTAAGTGTATAGAGGAGACAACTCTAGCTTCAAAGAAACAGCATCATTTTTTGTAAAATATGAATGTAGAATTCAAGATACAAAAACAACTCTTTGTATCATGTATTTCTGTCAATAAGTGGCTACTGTCATAATTTCTATAAATTAAGGATTTTAGAAATTTGTACTTTTTTCAATCACTTCTTGTAAAAAGAGAGTGCTGGATTTAAAATAAAGTAATAGAGAATCTAATGAGGCATTTCATTTCAAAACATCAAACTGGACTATTGATTCCTTTCCTTTCTAGGATTTCATCAGTGGCTTTGAACTGTGGGTGACACAGACATCAGATTGTGACACTATGCAGTCATGTCTCATGGTCCTACTGCAGGACATGCAGATTGTGTCATGTCTTGTGGTTCTACTGCAGGAAATGCAGATTGTGTCATGTCTTGTGGTTCTACTGCAGGAAATGCAGATTGTGTCATGTCTTGTGGTTCTACTGCAGGAAATGCAGATTGTGTCATGTCTTGTGGTTCTACTGCAGGAAATGCAGATTGTCATGTCTCGTGGTCCTTCTGCAGGAAATGCAGATTGTGTCATGTCTTGTGGTTCTACTGCAGGAAATGCAGATTGTGTCATGTCTTGTGGTTTTACTGCAGGAAATGCAGATTGTGTCATGTCTCGTGGTTCTTCTACAGGAAATGCAGATTGTGTCATGTCTCGTGGTTCTACTGCAGGAAATGCAGATTGTGTCATGTCTTGTGGTTCTACTGCAGGAAATGCAGATTGTGTCATGTCTCGTGGTCCTTCTGCAGGAAATGCAGATTGTGTCATGTCTTGTGGTCCTACTGCAGGAAATGCAGATTGTGTCATGTCTCGTGGTCCTTCTGCAGGAAATGCAGATTGTGTCATGTCTTGTGGTTTTACTGCAGGAAATGCAGATTGTGTCATGTCTCGTGGTTCTACTGCAGGAAATGCAGATTGTGTCATGTCTTGTGGTTCTACTGCAGGAAATGCAGATTGTGTCATGTCTTGTGGTTTTACTGCAGGAAATGCAGATTGTGTCATGTCTCGTGGTTCTACTGCAGGAAATGCAGATTGTGTCATGTCTTGTGGTTCTACTGCAGGAAATGCAGATTGTGTTATGTTCTTAGATGATGGAGTCAAAACTGTTTTGACAGCCATGCCTGCAATCATGCAAGTTAAAAGGATAACCATGACATATAAAAGTGGGACATATATCAAATCTGTTATATTAAGAGTATTCAAATGTAAGATTTGCTTGTTTCAGTGTTGAATTACAGGACAATAAAGCTGTAAGTTACGATTTTTAAGTAAAAACATAGTTCAGATGAAATTCTAAACACAGTTAGGTTTTGTCCATCCTGAGGTTTGAAATCCAGTATGCTGGGATCGTGTACGAGACATCATTTAACTGCGTCTCCTAACCATCGCATCTCTCTAACAACTTCCGGCACCAGTCGGCAGGGGCTATAATGGTCACCAAGACTTCAGCACCAAAAGGCAAACTTGTAGGTTAACTATTATTAGTTCTTTTATGACACGGGCCGTTAATGGCAGCAGCATGAGAAGAGTGGGCCATAGAAAACCATCAGCAGGCTAGCCTGCCATCATTTCCTGTGTGAGGCATGCTGGGAGACACAGGCAAATAGTTATTAACAAAAATAATTTGGGGGGATTACTGTATAATTATATAAAATACAAAGTATTCATATCAGATTTGGATGGAATGGTGGGAATGTGACTTTAACATATACGAATAATGGAAAGTTGTTTATCCAATTTCTGTCACATGGGACGTCTCTTGATTCTTAAGACACAATTCTCTAGGTACACGCCACTTCTAACTATCATGAGCTATTTGGGCACAAACAATTACAATTTTTCAAGTGTTGCTTGGCTAAAATGTCCATTGACCCATGAACAATTAATCACAAACATGAGCAGAAAACTTGATACAATTACTGAAGATACATGCCCATTGTGTACTAGGTAGGTATGGTTGAATTGTCTATTCTTTATATGTCAACATCAATCTCCGATCACAGACGAAATATCAGTCAAAAATAGAACTAAAGTATATTTTTGCTTGATAAGGCATTCTAGATACAGTTTATAAGAATGTATATAAATAAACAATTTTTTGCATTTTTGATTCTGTTTTATAGAAGAAAGGCTGTATATAAATACACAAAGTGTAAAATAACAGCAATGTCAATATCAGCTGTCAAATTGTCAAAATCATGAAATCAGCGACAGATCACTGTATATTTCATGAATCAGCCTGACTTTGATTGTGAGTGAAACAGACATCCCAACTGATCAATGCAATCAAACAGTTAAATAACTGGCCATGATCAATGTACACAAACCA